ACCACCTAGTCCAGTTCCACCAACTATAGCTCCAGTGCCACCACCTAGTCCAGTTCCACCAACTATAGCTCCAGCGCCACCACCTAGTCGAGTTCAACCTTCTACAGCTCCACCACTCCTGACTTATCATCGCCGTCCGCCCCCAGCATCAGGCCCAGCCGATTCACGTCCTGTACCTGACCCTGCTAATACTGCGGACTTGTCTCCTCTTAATCAACCGATTGCACTACGAAAAGGTATACGGTCCACAGTTAATCCTAATCCTCATTATATCGGTTTAAGTTACCATCGTCTCTCATCATCCCATTGTGCATTTGTGTCATCTTTGTCCTCTGTTTCCATTCCTAAGTCTACAGGTGAAGCACTGTCTCATCCCGGATGGCGACAGGCTATGATTGACGAGATGTCTGCTTTACATACGAGTGGTACTTGGGAGCTTGTTCCTCTTCCTTCAGGTAAATCGACTGTTGGTTGTCGTTGGGTGTATGCAGTCAAAGTTGGTTCCAGGTTGATCGACTTAAGGCTCGTCTTGTTGCCAAAGGATATATTTAGATATTTGGACTCGATTACAGTGATACTTTCTCTCCCGTGGCTAAAATTGCATCAGTCCGTCTTTTTCTATCCATGGCTGCTGTTTGCCATTGGCCTCTCTATCAGTTGGACATTAAGAATGCTTTTCTTCACGGTGACCTTGAGGATGAGGTTTATATGGAGCAACCACCTGGTTTTGTTGCTCAGGTTTTTGTTTGGCTTCGACGGGGGGAGTCCGTAGTGGGCCCTTGTAGTCGTTGGTTGCCCCGGTCCCTCTATGGTCTAAAGCAGTCTCCTCGAGCCTGGTTTGGTAAGTTCAGCACAGTTATTCAGGAGTTTGGCATGACTCGTAGTGAAGCTGATCACTACTTTGTATTTTATCGACATTCTACTTCAAATCTCTGTATTTATCTGGTCGTTTATGTTGACGATATCGTTATTACCGGCAATGATCAGGATGGTATTAGTAAGTTGAAGCAACATCTCTTTCAGCACTTTCAGACTAAGGATCTGGGCAGATTAAAGTATTTTCTGGGTATTGAGGTCGCTCAGTCTAGCTCAGATATTGTGATCTCACAACGGAAGTATGCCTTAGATATTCTTGAGGAGACAGGAATGACAGGTTGTAGACCTGCTGACACTCCGATGGATTCGAATTCTAAACTTTTGCCAGGACAGGGGGAGCCTCTTAGTGATCCTGCAAGATATAGGCGGTTGGTTGGTAAATTAAATTACCTCACAGTGACTAGACCTGACATTTCCTTTCCTGTGAGTGTTGTGAGTCAGTTTATGGATTCTCCCTGTGATAGTCATTGGGATGCAGTTGTCCGCATTCTTCGGTATATAAAATCAGCTCCAGGCAAAGGCTTATTGTTTGAGGATCGAGGCCATGAGCAGATCGTTGGATACTCAGATGTTGATTGGGCAGGATCACCTTCTGATAGACGTTCTACGGCTGGATCTTGTGTCTTAGTAGGAGGAAATTTGGTGTCTTGGAAGAGCAAGAAACAGAATGTGGTTGCTCGGTCTAGTGCAGAAGCAGAATATCGGCTATGGCCACATGTGAGCTAATTTGGATCAAACAGTTGCTCAAGGAGTTGAAATTTGGTGATATTAGTCAGATGTGACTTGTGTGTGATAATCAAGCTGCTCTTCATATTGCGTCAAATCCAGTGTTCCATGAGAGAACTAAACACATCGAGATTGACTGTCACTTTGTCAGAGAAAAGATACTCTCGGGAGATATTGCTACAAAATTTGTGAAGTCGAATGATCAGCTTGCTGATATTTTCACCAAGTCCCTCATTGGTCCTCGTATTAGCTATATATGTAACAAGCGCGGTACATATGATTTATATGCACCAGCTTGAGGGGGAGTGTTAGTTTCATTGTATAATAAGGTCCAGCCTAAGACGCAATATCTCAGCTTCTCAAGCTATTCCTGTCTCTTTAGCTTTCCATTGGTATTTTCTTACTACTTGTTTTCTTCTCCTTTCCTTCTTCTTTGCCTTTATTCTGGGTTTCATAAGTTACCAACCATTTTCCAGTTGGATTCTAGAGAAGTTAAGAGGAAGAAAGCGCACTGCTTGATCTTTCGTAGAAAATAATTATGCTCAATCTTTCTAAGAAACTAATTCAGTAATTGTGCAAAGGCTGACATGTTTTTTTTTTTTTGCTTTGCACCGGGTGTCCGAGTCTCTATGAGCCCCGACTAATCCCGGGGGTGCACAGGCCCTCGGCAAGGAGTTTCCCGCAAGTGCACCACGGTTAATTCAGGTTTTACCCAGTCCGATGGCCCTCAGAAATTGTTTGCACCCAGTGGGTTTCGAACTTGATACCTTGAAAGGGAGCATACCCCAAGGCTCAAGTCAATTGCCACCAGGCCAACCCCTGAGGGTTGTGCAAAGGCTGACATGTTATACGTTCTGTTTTTTTATTTCCTTTCCGCAATTCCATTATTACTTCTTTTTGGTAATGAAAGAGTTAGCATTCTGATAGTAATTTTGCAGCAACATTTACTGTTTTGTTTTAGCTGTATGTGTCATTTACACTATCCCTACAAGGAAAGAAACCAAGCAAGTGTCCTCTTATCCTGTCTTCCATACGAAATGGATTCAATTCTCTGCTGGTGCTCTCCTGAAATGCTGGACCATGTTGTTTCTTGAATCTTGCCTCAGACTTTAGATCTTTTCGCTTAACTATAAGCACTCATCATCAATAAATTCTTATTTCTGCCAAAGATCTCAGATGCATTTCATTCTCCTCTTTGGGTTTTACATTCTTTGTTATGCATTTACATACAACTTATTGTGCTTCTTCTAGAGGCATCAAATTAGTTTCCATTGGGTCAAAGAGATATGGAGAGAGGGGAAAGCTTTGCCGCGGACCTTTCTTTTCCATTGGGTAAAAGATCAGTCATTATTAAATAAAGTCGCAACACTTGATACCTATTGGATTTAAAATAAAAATTACCAGAGGATGAGCAGCAAAAGTAAATACCAGAAGAAGCCTTCTCAATTATCTCAAAAAAAAACAAAAACAAAAAAAGATTATACGTGAAGATCTCTACTCATCATCTCCTAAGCGAAATAAATTTAATGAGAATGCTGTTAGGATAATTTGAGCTGAATGATAAATCTACCCAATGACGTTGCAACATTAGCCATTTTAATACACTCTTAATTATCCAGAATGAGGCATGTCCCTCTCATTCATACTGCTTCTTTCCAATTCCAAATTGTTAGAGTTTCAAATTGAACTTCTTCCGAAATTACTAATCCCATTGTAAGCTTAATACTTGAAGCTAACATATGATCATCATAAACAGGTGTCATAACAGGTATTTCTCATTCATTCTGTCTTCAGTAGTAGATTACACATATGATCACCGCCTCTACTTGCAAACTAGACAAGAACGTAAGCAGAGGATGAGAAACAAACCATCAGAGTTTCACCAATTACATTTACTAGATAGGAACTTTGACATACTACTACGACAACGTCAGAGCAGAATTAGCTTCCCGAAGTACAAACTACATATTAAAATTGGCTATAGAAAATCATGATTCCTTGCTTCAGTACATTACACTTAAGTAGTGCCAAGTAGTGAGATTGAAACAATGCATGCAATCTTAGACACAAGCAAGGGTCTCAAAGTGTTGAAAGGCTTGACCCCATTTATACTTGTACTCTAAGGGATCCTGCTTGACAGAAGCAAAGTTTGAGACATTACATACTTCCTCAAATGTCCTGTCAACAATATCGTAGGATAAAATTCTGCCTTGAGCTGATACTATAAGCATAGTCTTCCCTTCTCCATTTGCCTCGACCAAACAAAGTACATCAACCTTAATACCATCAGCATTACCTCCAATTCCCCTACCAAGATAACCAATATCAATGCGATACTTCAACGACCACCCGGAATAGTCTTTCTGCAACTCCATTACATCCACCAGTGAAGCTGCTCCACCATCACATTCCTGAATAACATGGAGGCGCCCGCCCCAATCGCCAAAATAACAAATCTTTCTCCCATTTTCAGGAACACTAGTACTAGGCATTGTCCTAAACCTCTCATTCTCGACATCAAATGCTAGAAAAGGCTTGTTCTCGCCAACCCAATGAATACAACCTCGCGAAAACACACCCCTTTTCAACAAGTAATCATATTTATCACTAAAACCCTTTCCTGTATCCTTCCATGTACCACTTTCTGAAGCATAAATCAAGATTTTATACACGTGATCCCCAAAAGGGTCATTGTCATTTTCAGAATTATAAGCATATATGCAAATAATTCTATAAAACTCGGATCTTGACGGATCAAATGCTAAATTTATAGCTTTAATAGTAGAGAGGCTAAATTTTTTAGGCAGTGAAAGAGAAGCATAAGAGCATGTACATGGGTTATAAACATAAAGGTTACATTCACAAGGAGCCAACAAAAGTCCAAAACACAACAACCCATTACAAGAATGAAGGTGATGAAAACCTGAAAAGGCTAAAGGGTAATGAAACCTACGAATGGAAGAAGGGATGGTTCTAGAATAACAATTTTTGTCGTTGGAATTATTTGGGAAGTATACGAGGTGGTCCATAAGATGTTTGAAGGAGAATGTACGGAACAACAAGAGACCAGTGGCGGTGGAAGTGGAGGCGTGGCGGCGGCAGTGACGGCGGCGGAAATGAGGAGCGGAGATGAGAGAGTGCCAGTGTTTGGAGACGCAGCAGCATTGGAGAAGATATTTTGTGGGTAATCGGAGGAGAATTTCACTTAGAACGTCTTCCTTGTCGGCGATCACTTCGCCGCCCGAAGAAGCGGTGAGATCGCCGGCAACCGGTGAAGCAGCCTTGAGTATTGTCATTCAGATTTGGGATGATCGCACAATTTTTGTGAAGGAAATGTGAAGAGTTTTTAGCTAAAATCTCTCTTACGTTTAAACTTTCCTAAGCTTTGAGCAGTTTTAGTCCACCTAGCACAAATCATTGCAGTCATATGACACGGATTTAACATGAAACCACTGTTAGGGTCCTTTGGCAGGAGGTACAAGAACAGCGCTGAATGTACTATATTAGTAATGCTGATATGTAATACTCACATTAATTATGTTGGTATTAATTTTGCTGACATTATTTTTTATCCAATATTTGATTGGGTGTATAACATTTGTTCCTGAGCTATAAAAAGAGCAAATATAGAATTTGAATATTTCCTTTATCATTTTAACTTTTTAATCACTATTGATATTTCTTGTAATATATTAGTGATAGATAAAGCAATCAAAGAAACCTAAAGAGAGTTTCATCGAATAGAGAGAGAGATGGTGCTTTTGTTTCATCCAAAACACAACAGAGATGACAATCAGCAGCATAGTACTATAAAAAGATGTGATGATGGCCATAGTCTTAGGGTACCCTCAAAAGTTGAAGAAGTATAATCTATGGAGATTTTTTCTTTCATATATCATATATGAAACATTATTATTAAAAATGTGCATAGTTTCTAATTTACTCGCCCTGTCCATATTTTTTCTGCAGTTATTATACCAATCATTAAATACTAATTAATAGTAGCTGAATCTTCCTAATTTGTCGAGCTAAAAGTGAGGAACAGAATATTCTAAAAAGATTTGGCGTAAATCAGATCAAATCATATTTTTCCAGATATTACTATTAGGCTCGCTACAATTATGGAAGTAAATATTCTTCCAGATATTTTCCACCATTGATAGCCACTAAAAAGCTTGAAAGCTTTGAATTCAAATTTGGGTTTTCAAAAATCATTATTTGTTTGGATTGGGTGTTGTTGAAAATAATCGGGAATATGGTTTGGAGTTTATATCTTAATTTTGAGGGGTTTTGGTGAAGATTAGACTTAGTTTGGACTGAAATTCAGATTGAAACTCGAAGAAGAAGAAGAAGAAGAAGACATATTGCAGAAATTGTAGATAAATTGTAGATTATTTGTATTCTGATTGTAGATGCTTTATTTTCTGTTTTCACAAATTAAAAACGGCTAAAACTTCTACAAATCTTCTGAAAAAACGTAATTATGTCAAAAATCACAATTATGCTACAATTGGATGGGAATTGGGATATAAAAATTCAATGTACCCAGTTTGTAGATATTTTGTAGATATTTTGTAGATAAATTGTAGATTATTTGTATTCTAATTGTAGGTGCTTTGTTTTCTGTTTTCACAAATCAAAAACGACTAAAACTTCTATAAATCTTCTGCAAAAAACGCAATTATGTCGAAAATGCCAATTATGCTACAATTGAAATGGGAATTGGGATATTAAAATTCAATGTATCCAGTTTGTAGATATTTTGTAGATAATTTGTAGATTATTTGTATTCTGATTGTAGATGCATTGTTTTCTGTTTTCACAAATCCAAAACGACTAAAACTTCTACAAAATCTTCTGCAAAAAACAGTCTACAATTTATCTACAATTTCTGCAATATGTCTTCTTCTTCTTCTTCGAGTTTCAATCTGAATTTCAGTCAAAATCAAGTCTAATCTTCACCAAAACCCCTCAAAATTGAGATATAAACTCTAAAACATATTCCCAATTATTTTCAACAACACACAATCAAAATAAATAATGATTTTTGAAAACCCAAATTTGAATTCAAAGCTTTTTAATGGTTGTCAATAGTGGAATTGCAGCTCTCTTGTCTCTTTGAAGGTTTGTTCTTCTTCATTGAGAAAATTTGAAGCTGAAGGTAAATGTGTGTATGAACTTTGAAGATTTGACTTCAATTTTGATGAACTTTGTTGTTCTTCATTGATGAACTTCAACTGGAGTAAAATGGGGAACCAACATTGTTGAAGGGTTTCTTCAATTTTCTGTGAATTTAGAGGGAGAATTTGATTTCAGAAGATGGAAAATGGTAAAAAGAACGTGGGTATGGGTAAAACATGGGTGGGACTGAGGGGTTAGGAGAGAGAAACGTGCAGATTCCTTTAATTAAGGAGTAAAAAATGTACAATTAATTATACCCTTAATTAATTATGATATAAAATTGATAATTTGGTATACTAAGTGTAATTAAGTCAAACCTTAAACATTGAGGGTAATAAGGTTCCCTATGTGGCATAGGAATATAAAAATCTCTAATCAATGACCCCTTTAGAGCACGTTCATCTAAGGGTGTTAATCGGACCGGGCTGGCCCGTTCACGACCCGGTTCGACCCGGTTCAGCCTGGGTCAGCCTTGTACTGTAGTATTTGGGGGCGGGCTGGGACGGGTTGGGCGGGGAGCGGGTTTTAGACGAAAAGTTTCTGGATACCGGTGCACCAGAACCCGCTAAGCCCGATAACCCGTTAACGGGTTTTTAACGGGCTACAGCCCATTCCAGCTTGGTTTCCGTTACAAATTGTTTTTTTAAATTTTGTAGACCGTTGCCCACGGTCAAATTCAAAAATGACTGTTGGCCAACGGCCCTTTTTTGTAGAAATGGTCATTTCGGCCTAGCCCCTTAAGAAAATAGCCCCCCCACCCCACCCCACCCCACCCCTAATATTTGATAAATTATAATTTTAACCTTTTAAAAAGGCGAAATACATAAACGGCCCCTTTATGTTATCCTCAACGACCAAACAAACACTTCAACTGATCTAATTATCAATTAAACACTCCAAGTGGCTATTAAGTGGATCAAATAAACACTCAAGTGCAGCAAACCATGTGCGTGAATTACACTTGCCAATGACATATTAAAATGAACCAATTAAAGGACGACACGTGTAATTTGGAATAACTAAAACAAAACCAACCATCTGACCTCCTTCCCCACACCCGCGCCCCACCTAGCTACCTCATAATATTAGTCCAAACTTCCGGCGAGTTCTAGTCTGCAAAAATGGAGTCTTACTGGAATAACCAAAAAATAGAATTGACAGACAGCTCCAACCACCCAAGTACGATACGAGCAAAAGCTCTCTAATCTTGTCAATGCCCATATATGATTACCAAATTTGTTTGGTGAATATATGAATGCTCATTATCAAAACAACTACATACACATTAGAGGCGAGCTAAGATGAATACATCATAGTATCTCCATAAATAAATAAAGAATCCAGTAGTAATATTCAACAGCAAATTGGGCATAGTAAAAATAAATCAACTGCGGTCAGGCCTGTGAATGTCAAAGATTTAAAGCATCAAAGCAGCGGCAAATACAGCTACAACAGCAGATCCGGTGGCGACAACTCTATTCAAGGAAGCAGAATTAGGAGAGTTGGGAGGAGAACCGCCAGGAGCGGTGGCGATGGATGGAGGAGAAGAACCGGAAGAAGGAGATGATACCGGAGTATCGACAGTTGGTGGAGCTGGTTGAGGCAGATTGTAGATTTGTTTTGCTATGCTTTTTTGTATGTGGTGGAGGCGGCTAAAGTAGTGGTGGAGGGCAGGAGTAGGTGGACAGAGTTCTTATGGTAGTGGTCGTAGCAACGGTGGAGATGGTAGTGGCAGTTTGAGAATGAAAGGAGAAATAAGTACAAAATGAGGTACCAATTTTCCTATTTTAGCTTGCTATTTGGGCTGCCATGGAAATTGTTCTTGTCCTCCATTGAAGGTGAAAATTTTGAAGAAGGAAATCTGTGAAATGAATTGAAGTGGGCAAAAAAAAGAAGAAGGTAAGTGGGGACCATATAAAGTAAAATTAAGTTTTAAAAAGAAAAAAAGGAAAAACTTGATTTTAAGGGTTTCACGCCCTTATATGTGAATATAAAGCACACACGTTGCCATGTCAGCGTAAGGGGTTCACGAGGTCGTACTTCAGTCGAGAAGAAAGTGTGTAATTGATAATTGGGTCAGTTGAAGTGTTTGTTTGGTCGTTGAGGACAACATAAAGGGGCCGTTTATGTATTTCGCCTTTTAAAAATTATAAATAGCCACCCTTCTTCTTCATTTTTCCTCACAATTCACTCTCTTACTACTCTAATTCTCTCTCAATTCTTTCTTGACAATATTGATGATTATTCTTAAATTCTCAATTACTTATTATTTCAGGTTTCATCAAATATTTAGTTTAGCCATTACAAAATTATTATTGTCAAATATCAAGTATTCAAGTGAAGTGTGATATCAAGTATCAACTATCAAGTATCGGTCTATCAATTGAAGTTTGATTTTTGATATCATATTTATTGCGGCATCCGGAATCCCGGTACACTCGTTCCATTTCTTTCTCTTCTTTGGTGTATATTTTTATTTTATTATTTAGAATTATTAATTTAATTTACATAATGGATATATTAAGAGCAGCCAAAAAAAGCGTCACTAGTAGACATGGTAGTAAGAAAACTTCCAAATGATCAAGAGGTAGTGTTAGTTCTTCTAATAGCTTTACACATATTTCTAAAAGTTCACCTGAAAATGTAAATGTAGATTATGAGCGACTTCAAGAAAATTACGGTATAGATGATGATTTAGATGATATTCAATCACCTGATAATCTTGAAACAACACCAGCTACACCTGGTAATGCTAGTCAAACTCAAAATATTAGGGGTGGAGGTCGTGGTAATACAAGTAGGCCTCCCCTCCCTATTAAGAAGAATCGAAGAATAAGAAGTAAGTGTTGGATTTTTTTGAAAGACTAGAAGAAGATAAAAATTATGTAAGATGTAAAATTTGTAAGGATGTTTACAAACATGAGCCCGGTAAGGGAGGGGGAACGGTTCAACTTCGTAGGCACATGGTAGAGCTCCACCCTCTTGATTGGGGGTAGATGAGGAAGATGGGTAATAAAAACTTAACCCGCGTACTGGGGGATTAATGGGTAAATACGATATTAAGAAAGATCGGGAAGAATTAGCTAAAATGATTGTTTTAGGTTGTTTACCTTTTAGAGCTGATATCTTTAGGCTTTTTGGAAAATATCAAACATATATACATTATTTGTTCATCAGTCTTTCTTGTAGAGTTTCTCTTACTTCTGATATTGACCGTGCTGTAAATGAAAATGATTATTTGACTATTACATGCCATTGGATAGATGATATTT